TTTGTAGTCATTTAGCATCCATTTTCTCAGCAATGTAATTTGATTTATAAAATGAGACAAACTCCAGATCGCTCCACAAACAAGCTTGTCTGTCCCATGCAATTTTCAACCGATTTATGAATAAGAACGGAAAATGACCGTTCCACTTCACATTATTGTCCAATGAAATTTGAACTTGTGCCAGATCATGATTGGTTGGTGTATTATACATGACAAACAGGCATTGATGAATTATGTAATATTCTAAAATATATAATATTTGGATTTATTTGTAATTAAATCGGCACACTAGCTTTGATTATTGATGAAATTTTTTTTAAAATATTGTTTGGTTTATTTTTTTCCTTCTGTGGCCCACTCACTGAAAGATCCATATTTGAGACCCTAGGTTTCCGAACAGACTGTGGAATATCAGTCAGTCAAGCAAAACACACGCATCCCATAGCAACGCCTCAGATCGACAGATTTACAGATATGTAAAAATAAACAGGAATTTTCAGACTTTTGAGCGATTAGTTATACCGTTTTGTACACATTGTCATGTTAATTAATTCAAATGCATTTTGTTTTATTGACTACAATATCATTGCTATTTGTCTGAGAGGGGCACTTTTGAATAATTTTGAAAAAGGGCAGGGGCTTGAGCCCCCCAAACCCCCCCCCCCTCTGCACGTGCCTGAGGGGGGGGCACAAATCACATTGATCTCAGTGAGGTTTGCCTGAGGAGAGTCAGCAGTAAAGACTTTTATATTGAAAGAGACTGAAACGCTGTTGTAAACAAGGAAGTTATTTCTACTTTCAACAACAGCGTGTAAGTTACAGCCAAAAAATGCACTGAGAAGCGCTGTCATTTTGTCAATTTCATCAAATTGTTTTTTAAGACACTCTGTGGTTGTTTCTTATTTATTTACACTCTAGGGATGTAACAATACCAAAAATCTAGTCAGTACTGATACCACTAAAACTGATACACAATACTCAATAATACCCAAGTCGATACCACTGAAAAAAAAATAAAATACAATAATACTTAAACAATACTTCTTTATTTAATCCTTTTAACATAACAAAAACATAACATTAGTGGCAATTGTCCTTCAAATAATAAATAACATAAAACAGTGTAGCATAGTGTTGTCACTGTACCTACATTTTAGTAGTGGGAACCAATAGTACCAAATCCAAGGGTTCTCTGTACCAATTTCGGTACCATTGCAAAAATATTGCAATGCTATTACTAACTGTAAGTAAATATGTTAAAACATTGACTTGGTACCAAAGTCCCAGTACTTTTGACAACACTATTATTACACACTTTGCCATAGAACTGTACAAATGCAATATCACGTGATATCGCTCTATATCAGTGTGGCTGTGATTACCTATGGCCGAATCACAGCTGTGCTTATATAGAGCGATATCACATGGCTATGAGTGTGATATTGCTCATATATTATATTACATTATGTTATATTATCACAAAATGAATCAGCTGTTGCAGATATTGCATGACTACAAGGGTGATGTTACGTTTATACAACACTTGGTTGGCACAAGTATGTAAATAAATATGAATCAACCACTGAGTGTCTCAAAAAAAAGAAAAGAAAAAACATTTCTCATGACTCATTTTAAACTGAAATTATGTGTATAAAATACACTTTGCCAGTAACATTTTGCATCTGTAACAAAAATAAATTAAATATAATTGGAGAATTCAAATGTAAATTTATTGTTCAGAGAGTGATAAAGTGGTAATTAAAAAAAAAGGTGAGGCCCTCACTTGCAGAATTCCAGGAATTTTCAAGACTGGAAACTTTCCATGGGAATTAACGGGAATTAATGGTTTCCTCCCCCCCCCCCCC